CAAAGTTAGTCATAAATTTAAGCCAAAATGTATTCTGCTACATGTTTTTGGTAAAAAAAATCCCAATAAGTGTATATTGATTGCTTTGTGTGAAAGTTTATAGCGTCTACAAACTATCGTATAGATGCTGTAATTTATGCCTTTTTTTGCTATACAGCGCTGCACTAATTCAAATGATAATTGCACGATCATGCAATGCTGTACCCAAACGAAATTTACGTCCTTTTTTTCACACAAATAGAGCTTTCTTTTGGTGGTATTTGATCACCTGTGCGCTTTTTATTTTTTGCGCTATAAACAAAAAAACCACAAAAATTTTTGAAAAAAAAACAATATTTTCTAATTTCAGCTATAAAAAATATATCGTAAACTCAAAGTTAGTCATAAATTTAAGCCAAAATGTATTCTGCTACATGTTTTTGGTAAAAAAAATCCAATAAGTGTATATTGATTGCTTTGTGTGAAAGTTATAGCGTCTACAAACTATGGTATAGATACTGTAATTTATGCCTTTTTTTGCTATACAGCGCTGCACTAACTCAAATGATAATTGCGCGGTCATGCAATGCTGCACCCAAACGAAAATTACGTCCTTTTTTTCACACAAATAGAGCTTTCTTTTGGTGGTATTTGATCACCTGTGCGCTTTTTATTTTTTTGCGCTATAAACAAAAAAACCACAAAAATTTTGAAAAAAAACAATATTTTTCTACTTTCAGCTATAAAAAATATATCGTAAACTCAAAGTTAGTCATAAATTTAAGCCAAAATGTATTCTGCTCCATGTTTTTGGTAAAAAAAATCCCGTGCATTAGCGGGCAAACTGGCGCTATCTAGGAGGGGCGCTAACAAACTATCGGAAGTCACCAGTGACACTAATACAGTGATCAGTAAAAATCTGTTCACTGTAATCAATGACACTGGTGACAGGGCAGTGAAGGGGTTAACTGGGGGGGGGGCGATCAAGGGGTTAAATGGGATTTCTTGGTGCACTAGCGGGCAAACTGGCGCTATCTGGGAGGGGCGCTAACACTATCGGAAGTCGCCAGCGACACTGATACAGTGATCAGTAAAAATCGGTTCACTGATCAGTGACACTGGTGACAGGGCAGTGAATGGGTTAACTGGGGGGGGGAGATTAAGGGGTTAAATGGGATTACTGGTGTACTAGCGGGCAATCTGGCGCTATCTGGGAGGGGCGCTAACACTATCGGAAGTCGCCAGCGACACTGATACAGTGATCAGTAAAAATTGGTTCACTGATCAGTGACACTGGTGACAGGGCAGTGAAGGGGTTAACTGGGGGGGGTGGGATCAAGGGGTTAAACGGGATTTACTGGTGTACTGGCGGGCAAACTGGCCCTATCTGGGAGGGGCGCTAACACTATCGGAAGTCGCCAGCGAACACTGATACAGTGATCAGTAAAAATTGGTTCACTGATCAGTGACACTGGTGACAGGGCAGTGCAGGGGTTAACTGGGGGGGGCGATCAAGGGGTTAAACGGGATTACTGGTGTACTGGCGGGCAAACTGGCGCTATCTGGGAGGGGCGCTAACTCTATCGGAAGTCGCCAGCGACACTGATACAGTGATCAGTAAAAATTGGTTCACTGATCAGTGACACTGGGTGACAGGGCAGTGAAGGGGTTAACTGGAGGGGGGGGGGCGATCAAGGGTTAAACGGGATTACTGGTGTACTGGCGGGCAATCTGGCGCTATCTGGGAGGGGCGCTAACTCTATCGAAAGTCGCCAGCGACACTGATCAGTAAAAATCGCTTCACTGATCAGTAACACTGGTGACAGGGCAGTGAAGGGTTAACTGGAGGGGGGGGGCGATCAGGGGGTTAAATGTGTCCTAGAGTGTTCTAACTGTAGTGTAGTGCTTGTGTACTCACTTTTTGGATGTCTTCTTCTCTGTCTGGAACGGAATGTGTCCAGGCAGAGAAGAATGACATCATATCCTGCCCTGTGTATGTCAACACAGGACAGGATAGTGGACAGGGACCGATCATTGTGATTTCAGCCAGAAATCACTGGCTGAAATCTAATGATTGATCCCTCCTGGATCAAATAGTGTCACCCGCGGGTCGGCGGGAGCGCGCGCAAATGCGCGCGCCCCTGCCGGCGAAAGTGTCGGGAGCGCGGAACCCGTTTTTAAACGTGGTTTTGCGCTCCACTGCCGCCCTGCACACACGTATATACACAGTTTTGGCAGGGAGCGGCAAGCGGTTAATGACACTTTAACTGCTCTCCAAATGTGTGTTAAAATAATTTACTGTTAAAATCATACAAATAGTATATACAATGGCCCCATAAATAAAATAATTTATTCTGGATTTTGAACTGTGCTGGTTATCACATTTTCAAAATACAAGTCTGTTTCCAATACGTACTTGGAAATGTTGTCCAGTTGCTGTAGATATTGTGGTAGTATAAAATGGATAACTGGGGTTTTAGAGGTAGCGCAGCACGTAATGTATAATTGATTGGAGCCATTTTTATAATAATGAACTTGCGGGCAATGTAAAAGAGGCTAAGGCGAAACCTTTCCTGGATATCTTACTCGCTTCCTATATATTTAGCACGTACAGTTGTGCTCAAAAGTTTGCATCACCCTGGCAGAAATTGTGACATTTTGGCATTGATATTGAAACTATGACTGATCATGCCACAAAAATGCTCTTTTAGTGAAAGATGATGATCATATGAAGCCATTTATTTATCAAATAGTTGTTTGGCTCCTTTTGAAATCATAATGATAACAGAAATCACCCAAATGGCCATGATCAAAAGTTTCCATACCCTGGAATGTTTGGCCTTGGTACAAGGTGACACACACGGGTTAAAAATGCCAATCAGAGGTTAATGTCCCACATCTGTGGCTTTTTAAATTGCAATCAGTGTATAAATAGTCAATGAGTTTGTTAGCTCTTACATGGAAGCACTGACTAGGCTAGATACTGAGCCATGGGATAAGAAAAGAACTTTCAAAAGTCCTGCGTAACAAGGTAATGGAACTTTATAAAGATGGAAAAGGACATAAAAAAAGATGTCCAAAGCCTTGAATATGCCAATCAGTACTGTTAAAACGCCTATTAAGAAGTGGAAAGTTTGGGGATCTCTTGATACAAGCCAAGGTCAGGTAGACCAAGAAAGATTGCAGCCATAACTGCCAGAATAATTGTTCGGGATACAAATATAGTGAATGTTTGAGTTTGTAAAGAAGAATACAAACTCTGCTATTTTTTGAACAGTCTAATATTCACTTTTCTTCAATTTATTTAGAGGAACAACACACATTTGATATATTTTTCTTCATGTTTTGATTTGGAATAGAATGTGTAGTGTTCCCAATGCATTTGTGTGTATGGAAATAAAAGCTATTAGAAGGATTTTGAGCTTTATTCACTTTTTTCAACACACTGCTATTATTTTGAAACACAACTGTATATGCTCATTTAGCAGATTTGTTGGGTGATTTTTCCCATTCAAGTATACCCAATGAGGTTAATCTCATGAGATAACAACCAATAAACTGAAGAGGTACAAAAGAGCAGTTTTTCCGTCTCTGAGATTAAAAATTGCTTCTGTGACCATAGGTTTAGGTGAAAAGTTGTGCTTTTGTAATAATGACAATGGAATATAGAAAATGAAGTTGCTATTTCCCAGCAGGAAGCTAAAGAATACAAAGTATCGTAGAATAGAGCAAGACAGAGTAGACTAGACTTGTACAGTGTTAAAATGACATTGTATTGCACTAGGTTTGATGGCAAAAAGGTCTTGATTTGCGAAACATAAATCCATAATATAACCTAATCCAAGGTTCTCTGGATATAACATTCAATTGTAAAATTTTCTCACAAAGTTCCATGGGTTTTTTTTTTTTAATAGCATTCATTTTCTCATACATCATAATGTAGCTAATTTGGTATTGAACTATGCTTTAAGACATAGATGTGGATTTCCATCTGGCAGCGATATGTAATCTGCTAGCCAAGGACATGAACTGGATCAGTCTGTGAGTGGAATTTTTAATCCCCAGGTATTCATTCTTCTAATAGTAAAGAGGGGGCTTTAGGACACTAGATGAACAGAACATTATGCAATAATTGGGTCTATTGTGTCCAGAATGTAAATACAATATGGCAGGTCCTCCACATGTTTTTTGTTTTGGCATTTTGTACTCCCCCCCCTTATAGGGGTTTGAGGAGATAAAATTTGAGATATAGTTAGCTGTAGTTAGACTCATGTTTTCAAAGGATCCAAGGAAATCGAATAGTTGTAGGTTGTAAATATATTGATTACTGTGGGATAATATTTTATTTATTGCAGCTTCTATAGTCATCAATCTATTAGAATCCAGCAAGTTTTTTAGTCCAATATTTGACCAACAAATTTTTTTTAATTCCAGGTATGGCCATGGGTTTTAAAAATAGTTTAGCTTATATTAGAGGTTTTTTTTTTTTTTTTACTTGGATCTCAGTCTGAAATATGTTGTGCTCTCTGAAAAACTACTATAAATAAATAAGTAAATAAACAAATAAATTCCCTGCTATACAAATGTGCATGTGCTATAATGCCCGTGGGCTGGCGATTGTATCCCTCCTCCCCAGTGACTACGTCTTAAGTGAACCAATATGTAAACAAAGTGCTAAAACGTCAATGGTGCTAAAAAAAATATATACAATGCCATAAACTGTGTATACACCGAATGTGTATAAAAATACATATAATATATATTAACCACTAGCCTACAGGGCACTTATACCCCCTTCCTGCCCAGGTCAGTTTCCAGCTTTCAGCACTGTTGGATTTTGAATGATAATTGCGCGGACATGCAACACTGTACCCATATGAAATGTTTATATAATTTTTTTGTGACAGATAGAGCTTTATTTTGGTGGTATTTCATCACCTCTGGGTTTTTTATTTTTTCTTAAACAAACCAAAAACCACTGAAAATTTTGAAGAAAAAAAAAAGTTTTTTCTTAGTTTTTGTTATTAAATTTTGTAAATAAGTGATTTTTCTCCTTCACTGATGTGCGCTAATGAGGCTGCAGTGATGGGAACTGATAGGCTGCACTGATGGACACCGATAGGTGGCACTGATGGGCATGGCACTGATAGGCGGCACTGATAGGCGGCACTGACTGGCACTGATAGGAGGCACTGACTGCCACTGTTAGGTGGCACTGACTGGCACTGTTAGGCAGCACTGATAGGCGGCACTGATAGGCGGCACTGATGCACACTGATAGGTGGCACTGACTGGCACTGATAGGCGGCACTGACTAGCACTGATAGGTGGCACTGATTGGCAGCACTGATAGGTAGCACTGGCTGGCATTGATGGGTGACACTGAAAGGCAGCTCAGATGGGCACAGATATGTGGCATGGATGTGGCACCGATGGGCACTGAAATGTGGCACTGATGGGCACTTGCAGGTGGCATGGATGAGCACTGACAGCTGGCACTGATGGACACTGACAGGTGTCGCTGCTGGGGCTACACAGATCATCAGTGCTCTGATGATCAGTGTACATGTCCCCTCTGAGGAATGCTGATTACCGGCTCTCCTCTCCTCTCGAGCTGTCAGCGTGACAGCTCGTGAGGAGAGAAATGCCGATAAACCGACATTTTTACCTGTTTACATGTGATCAGCTGTGATTGGACACTGCTGATCACATGACCGAGCCGACATCTTCAGCTCTTTCCGTTGATCGGTGATCCGCTGTGTCCGAGGGACACAGCGCACTGCCGATCGCTGCGCTGCACGCTCCAGGAGCTGCACATGCGCGGTTAGAATGGGAGGACATCATATGACGTCCTCCCAGAATGAGAGAACTGCCTTGCGTCCGTCATTTTACTATATGGCGGGCGGAGGCGGTTAAAGTCCCAGTGCTGTGCAAACATATAAATATTCCAAAAAATAGAAAGTTCCAAAAATAAAAGGACCATCATCCGTATCCGATGTGAATATTAAGTGATACAGTGGTAAATATTTGTATCCATAGTAATTCTCTGTGCGTAGTGCTCCAATTAGAGCTCCTCCTCCAGAGCCCTACTCACCACAGATAATTGACCACCTGAAATGGTAGGTCAAATATCGCATAGGATGTTGCAGCGCTCTCCTGCAGGAAAGTTGGCCGTCTATGTGGTCTTGACCCCTCTATACACTGATGACAGACTCTATAGTGAAACACCTTTAGATTATCGTTTGCGACAAAACTCCTCCAGGACACCGCAGTACTCATAAAAAAGCAAAAAAGCAATTCCCTTCTCAGAGGACAAGTGTAGTGCTATCAAGCCCCACCACTGGAAATGTGCAGCAGATATGTCTATCCACATCAGCATTGCTGATTTGACATTGCAAATGGCAGGATGACCTAACAGAACAGAGACTTGGAAAGCATCTAAGATTTGACATACACACTCTTTTCCTCACTCTGCACATAGATTCTGCACCTCATGGGACAACAATCTAAGAACTAGCAGACTGAGAGTGATCGTAACTGTTTTAGGAGCAGTTGACACTTTACACATGCGAACATGGTAGCCACCACAAGCTTCAGAAACAAGCACCTGTGACGGGCGCGGCATCAGACCCCAGACCTTCTTACCAAACACGTGACCGAAGGACTAGCCAATCTAAAACCGCGATGTCACATGCGTAACAATGCCACGCCCAGCTGCACCCTGCACACTGATTTTCCAGCTAATTGGACCTGAATCAACGTACCTGCAGCCTGGGAGCGTTTGTTACTGGGTCAGGTTAATGCCGCAATTAACCCTTCACATTGCCACCACCTCCTTTTTATACAGAGAAAGAGGAAACTCAGCAATACACTAGGATGATTGGTTAATCATCGGTATACCGCTATCTCCACAGACAGGTTATACAGAGGGTTAAACACTCATAGTAGCGCTCTTCAGCGGCAGGGATTCATAAGTCACATTAAAGAGCTATAGAAACAGTTCAACACTTTCAGAAAGTAAGATTTATTACTAAAAGGTCAAAAGGGTGCAGTAGAAATATTTACAGACAAAAGATGTAACCCATATATATATATATATATATATATATATATATATATATATATGTATAAATATACAGAGCACAACAGCACAGCAAACAGATAACAGAAAGAAGTTTCGGTAAATAAGTACTTGCCAAATAGATTCCTGGGGTTAAGCAGTTTCAAGTTTGATGAGCTAAAAAGGGATTTCTGGGCTCGCACTCAGTTTCATTGTTACAGCGAGATTCTCCTTTGTTCTTTGTCTGCTAGATGTTAAAACGCAGAAGGTCCTCACTTCTCTGTCTACACACAAAGCATAACAGCTTCCTTTTCTACTCAAAATCAATGGGGTGTCTCTTACAACAGAACCCAGTTGCCTTATTTGGCAAAGAATTGTTAGGCAGGGGGCTCAGCATCATACACTGATTGCATTCCTGAGGGAGGGGGAAATGAGGGGATAACATGAAGACTTCTTAACACAGTGAGAGCCGTGGGGGGCGGAGCCTAAACATGGCGGCGTCGGAGAGCACGATGTGAGTGCTCTCCGATAAACCTCCAAACTAACCTCCCGAGACCCTCATGGAGTGAAGCCCTACCTGCTGGCTCCCTGCCAGAGCGGCAGTGACACGAGGTACCCTCTTGAGGAGTGAAGACGTGCGGACAGGAGGAGAAAGGGACCAGCTGAGGAGGACCTCGGAGGGAAAGAGGAGGCTGGTTGGTGCTCTAATAAAATAAAGTGCCGCCAGCTTATAGTTGACTGCATCCCCCGGGCCGGCTGTTTGATCCTGGGTCAGGGAGACCCACAAATATCAGGACATTTATTCTTCTTCCCCAGACCATCCTCAAGGAGAGAGAAAGGACGGTGGAAAGAAAAGAAACACAAAGTATCGGATACCCCCGAGGAATCCCCCCCAGGATCTGTGCAGCAGTGAAGGCCCCTCCACATAAGCCTGGAACCACTCTGTCCTGAGAAGAGAAGGGGTGAGTTGAAAACTGCTTGGGGCCTTTGCATGGTGAACCTGGTGTTACAGGTGTGTCCAAGGGGTCAAGAGTGGAGGATTAAAAGGGGATAGAAGAGATGAAGAACAGGAGGCCCAGGGTGTCCAAGGGGGTAGTAAAGAGATATAGGAGGATTCGATAGGCTATCAGGACATATAGATGATATTGATGAAGACAAACCCTGGTGATACAGGTGTCCAGGGTGTCAAGGGGAGGATCCCAGGGGATAGGAAAGAATCGCAAGGAGGCCCAGGTGTCCCAGGACAATTAAAGACATATAGGAAAAAATCGCAAGGCTTTCAAAGGGGATGTCTATTTTTTTGAAGATATGAAAAGGGGGAAAGGTCCCCAAGGGGCGCAGGGCCCTCCAAGGGAGCCCAAAACAGGAACAATAAAGAAATTTACATCAGTATGGTGAAATACTGCGCCAGAAGGAGATGGCCCAAGTGCCCAAAGGGGGAAAATGGACACCTAGTTCAGGAAATAGCCTCTAGCTATTATCATGGATTTAGGTCACGTACAGCAGCGGTAGCCAAAAATAGATGGAGGGCTTGGGAAAAAAAGATTAGATGGTGAAGACTACAATTACCAAATAAAGAAGGTGGATGGCAGAAATGTTTCAAATTTTGGAAAAAACGATTACAGAAATGAAGGACAGTAATCTTAAAATGATTTTAGGTTCAACTTCTATTAGTGTGCTCCTAAAGCTATTCGAGGATGAAACCTTCTATTAAGATGGAATGAACCAGAAAAAAAAAATCCAGCCCAGAAAATTAATTTAAGGGAAAGGAATAAGTCATATTAGAAAATTAACAGAAAAAAATGATCCTTTAGGTTGGAAGTTTCAAAAGAAAATAATGAGAATGAAGGAGTAATCTTAGAATACGAGGAATCCAGAGACCGCTCCTAAAGGGGAAATAACTATATGAACCTAGTTAAAAAAACCTAAACTCCCATAAGAGATAAACCGGAATCTGATGGGATCGATTTGGTACGGAGTGTTTAGGGTAGGAAAGTTCAATCGGGCTAATGAGAAGGAAAGGATAACCGAGGGACATAATTGTCCAAGTTCCAAAATTTTGGGGCCAAAGACGAGATCTGGAAGAAGATCAAGGGAGATCATTAATTAAGTGTGGAGAGTCGGGAACTATCCAAATCATATGCGGACTTAACAGTGAGACCTAAGGAGAAGGAGATCCTGAAACCCCTGTTGGGATAGAAAATAAGGAGAAGGATAGAGACCCTGAAGAAGGAGATCCTGAATCCACTGTTGGAGCAAATGAGAATAACAGAATGGTACAGTAATAGATGGCGTACCTCTGCATTCTAGGATTGGCTGGAAAAAATGGTGGTACAGCGTATTTGAGAATATCCAGAAGAATTAAGAGATTTCTGTGATAGACTGGACTACTTGCAAAGAATGGAGATACCTGGTGTGGGAAGAAGAAATAGAAGATATAGGAAACATAAATGTTATAAGAAAGAGGACTGGCAACAGTCGGGCTGAGGGAGGCCCGGGGGTGGAGGGGGGAGGGGAGGGAGATTGAGCGGAAAATGAATTTTTTTTTTTTTTTTTTTTCCCTCTTACTTCTCTCTCTCGCCCTCTGGCTTCTTCCCCTCAGATGCTGAGGACCTGCTTGGAGGCTACCCGATTAGAGGCAGGGAGGTAAAGAGTAAAAGACTCTTGTTGAATTCTAGAATCTAGATGAACAGACATAGAAGGGTAGTCGGGCCCCAAAGAGGGAATCGGGCGGCTGGAGGAGAGGTGAACCTGTACTTAGGCGGAGCTGACTGCCCCAAATTTTATAAATCAATGGTGGAAATAGATCCACAAATGATTTGTAGGCAGTTTATAGGCCTAAAAACGGGTAGGGGGAAAGGGGGGGGAGGATGGGAGGGGTGGTGGGAGAGGGGGGAGGGAGGGAGGGGTGGGGGGGGCGATGAGAGTTGGATGGGAGGAAGGGAGGGGAGGAGGTTATTGGGTCAATACTCTGCAGGACAGAAGAGATAAAGAGGAAAGAGGCAATTCTGGAAGAGAGATGGGACTTAATTGGGAAAGATGGAAGATATTACAGTTGTATAACCTATAATGTGAACGGGCTGAGTTGTCAAGGAAGCAGATTTAGGTTGTTTAACGAGTTTACATCACAGGGCTACGTCAGTGGTATTTTTACTGGAGAGGCTTTTGAGATAGAGGCAAACGTGAAATTGAAATCCTAAATAACTATCCAACATGGTACTATGCAGATTCTCCAATTAAAAGAGCAAAAAGGGAGTTGCAATAGGTTTGGCAAAAGAGCATGAGA